TTTCTGGCTCATTTAAGCTCATAGGGATTTGTGCCCTAAAAATTTACTATTTTATTTACCCTCATTCCCTCCACCTTACAATTCACGCAGCCAAGCCATTTTAGTAAGGATCTTCCCCTCTTTCATTTTTTGAGATTGCATCAACACCATCATCTCCTCAGCTCAACACCACCACCTTAGCCACAACACCACCAACACCTCACCACCTCCAGCTCACGAGACCAACAACACCACATTGCCTAAACCATCAACCCAAAACCACCATTTGAACCTCAACCAACAAGCCTTTAACCCAAACTGCAGCCATCCACGTTCCAGCCTCAACCCAAGTTGCAGCCCCCAAACCTCAACCCCGAAACCCAATTTTCGAACCACCGAGTACAACGCACAAATTGACAGCCATTTTCACCCCAAAATCGACACTCAATCAACCACATAAACCAAGCAAAACCAAAGACCCATAACTTACCTCATCCTTTGACCCATTTTCGAGATTGATTTCCGCCAAGAAAACCCAAAGAAAAATCAAACCCCTTATACCTCGGTCAACCTTCTACCCATGTGCCAAAACCACCCTACCACCTCCACCCACCCATCGACGCCACCACGCGAAGGTGGCGCTGAGTAGTCGCCTCACCGACGGCGAAATTGGGGAAGGGGCAGCCCCTTTCCCGTCCTTGCTTCTTCTCCTATTCGAGAAATGAGAGAGAGAAGAAGTGGGTGAGATAATTGGTTAATTTTTAATTTTTATAAATTGCCCCTTAAGCCCTCAAGTTTCAAAAGTCATGTATTTTAGTTCTAAAGTTTCTATTATTTATAAATCAACCCCTAAGTTTTAAGTATTTTATTTCAGTCCTCAAATTCTTATTTTCAATTTCAATCTATTCCAATTAAGTCCATATTTTAGAAAAGTTTAATTTCGGCCCTTAAACTTTTATTTTCAATTTCAATAATTTTCAATTAAGTCCATAAATTTTATTTTATCGCTTTAAAACTTTAAATTTCGGAATACTAATTCAAAACGTATTTTCTATTTTGGCTAGACGAAACGTAAGGACAATTAGGAGATTGA